GAAAGTTCAGTTTACATTGAACCTCTGCTGCTCTGTACATCCAAGGGGATATTAAATGAATGAGACGTTGCCCTTCGGAAAACGACCAAATCAGATTGTTATGATAACATAGACCATCATTAGTCTTTAAGGAGATGTGCTAACTGAATACAGAATCGCGGCACAGGAGAAATTAAACATACAATGCCCTGTTCAGCTCTAAACCCACCTGAGATCCTGGAGCTGGAAAACACAAGACGGTCATGAAACACCCTTTATACTCACGGCGTGTACAAAGCAGAAATTACATTGTTACATCATATGCAGGAAGTTGGGACTGTGAGAAACTCATTGAGATTTTTTTCTGCAGCGTTAACTCTTTAACCCCTTAAGGACACATGACGTGTGACATGTCATGATTCCCTTTTATTCCAGAAGTTTGGTCCTTAATGTGTTAAATGTACACTCAATTGAAAACAATTTTTTTAATTAGTTCAGTGGATTAGATTCATGTATCAATTTATTTATGCATGTTTTCATTGGGGGTACTACATCTAATTACAGCTTGCAAAAATTGCAGATATGTTGTGTTCATCCATTGCAAGCCCCTGTTTTTCCCCCCGGCCCCGAGTAATACTCCAATCAGAGGTGTTTCATTGAGGGCCCTCAGTTCTGCAGCCGTGGGAACACATTTTCATAGTGTGCCTGCTACTTCTGTTAATTCCGTGGAGCTGATTAACAAGCAGGGAAGTGTTTTTGCCCTGAATTCTAAAATTTCTATTGAAATCTGCACTTTTATAAACTGTCACAATTATGACAGACTCCAGACATAAAGCAAGATGAATGCCAATTGCTAGATCTATAATATACATTAAAAAGAAAATGATATCACACATAAAAAAGGTTAACACAAGTTATAGGTGTTTTTGTTGAATTCTGTCATTTCCAGAGAATGTCCCCCTTTAATAGAAACCTCGCAGAAGACTGTCACCTCCAATGATTTCAGCTTCACTGTGGTGCGTACAGATACTAGTGGTACTAATACATCAATGTAATCCATATTCTGAGTTAACATCATGGACTGAGCCTATTACAAATGGTAGAATCTCTGGGAGAATACTGCTATCGGGTAAAGGATCCAGACTGCAGCAGAGCCATAGGCAGGAAATATGGAAACCGACCGTCATCCTCCAGAAGTCAGGAAACAATCCAGATTGTTTAGAAGGTCCTGAAACTGGGATACAATATCAGGCAAGGAATCAGGTTCATAAATCAGACACGGGAATAGAGACACTTTAAGGTATGATCAAAAAGGACTCAAACCTCGAAATCATTGGAAAAATAAATGGGAAAACTGGGAAATAAGAGATGGGAGCTGAATAAAATACACGGATATAGAGATGGGAGACATCAGTAGGAAACATGACACATAGGGCAAACGAAACCAATACGGAGCTGCAGCTGGTTATGGAAACCAAAACTGAGCTGTTTACTTGTTTGTAGTGGTTATGGTGGATAGACTGTTTCTTTAAAGGGACTCTGTAAACACCATAGCCACTGCTTTTTCTAAATAGGGTAACAAACAAAAAGTTTAAAAAATGGTGCAATATGTAAAACATGGCTTTAATTTGAGTTATAGAAACACTGTATTCCTAACACTATGTTGTCCCTCTACCTCCATGCCCACCATAGTCATGACATGGTCAAAACCCTTTCTTTCACTTACCTGATTCCAGTGCTGAGTTCCGTCAGCGCTGGATCGCTCTCCTCCTCCCGTAACATCATGGTGATGGGGGAATATAATGCGCAGTGAATCAATGCTTTCCTATGGGGATTTTCAGGATGAAAGTGTGACGGCGTCCAGTGTCGTTTCATGGAGTTAAAGTCTGTAAAGCGCCAGAAGATGCCTCTAGTGACTGTCTAGTAGACAGCAACTAGAAGTGTAACAAACCCTGCAATGTAATTATTAAAATGACTTAATGAAATGGTCTGGGTGCATATATATATATATATAAAAAGAGAGATAATCTTGGCACCCACCCTGTTACAATAATACATTTTCTTGCCTGGGTGCAACCTCAGCGTTGATATATAAACAAAAATTGGGTATAAGGTGCACTCACAGGTCTTGATGAGAAGATTCTTTTATTTAGTGATGCAAATTGATCAAAAAACTTTGTTTGCACATGTAATTTGCATCACTAAATAAAAGAATCTTCTCATCAAGACCTGTGAGTGCACCTTATACCCAATTTTTGTTTATTTATATATATATGTATGTATGTATATATATTTTGTGTGTTTCCCCTTTGTATTTTGTGTGCTGTGCCTTGTTCTCCCGTTCAAGAGCGTCCATACAAACAGAACCCATTCTTCTCCCAAACAGGGACCACCCAGATGCCCCATTAGAATGTTCCCCCCAATTAATCAGAATGTTCACACCTGTAACATAGGTGCGAAACTGCAAGGGAAGTAATTAATGAGTGCTCCCCTGGGTGGCTGCCATTTCGTATAGAAGAACGCCAACCAGGGGGAACATTCCTATCCCCAAAAGAAGACGCTTCCCTTGCCGGGGGTTTGCACAGGAACCTCATGAACGGAAACCGGTTGGTTAAATGTACTGTGCGGGGGTTCCTAAGATTGGTGGGTACACTTCTGGGGCACTGGCTATCTTGGCGGGCTTTCTGTGCCTGGGAGGCAAAGACACTAGGTCCCTTTTTCCCACGCCTGGGCTCCCATGCACAGAGGATCCTGGGATGGAAACCTATGTTTGCTTATGGGGAAGACCCCTTGCAAGGGGTTATGCATAAAAACGGTGTGTGGCGTAATAAAGTCGTGTTGTACTCCCAAAGTTGTGTCTCGTCCAGTTTCTGGGGGGGGATGGGTGCCTTCATACTGTAAGTGGTTGCAGAGAGGCTGAAGAAAGGAATTAGCGAAAGTAACCGGTCGGTTTACACTTGGTCCGCTACACCAGGTTCTAACTTTATCACCATTTCATTGTGAGCCCCTGTAATAATGAAAAAGAAACTAACACCTCAAATTACATTACATTTCAATTTTTGACACTACCACTTTAAATCACAATATTTGGGGTTAATCACACAGCAAGGTGTGAGGGTAATGCTGTGGGTGCTGGTTTCATGCAGCAAAGTAAAGGGTTAATTCAGCATGGTGTGTGGTCTATAAATATTAATGTAATGCATGCAATACGTTCAATTCAATCAAGGTTTGGTGTGACAGTGTGATTTACAAATCACATTAGGAAATATAACTTTGGGCTGAAACACCTTGACAGACACACAGTCGGATTTGCCGGCATATGCGCTAACCTTACCCAACCCCCATAAAGACACGGACACAGGCTATACTGTTGGAATATTCCAATATAATAGTCCACAGCTTTATTGAATTATAAATAAATTAATTAAGGAATAGCAAATGGGGTCATTGCCAACAGAACTTATTAAAATTAACATCCCCCACGTACAATGACCCCCCAATAATAACAATCTAAATAACATGTTAATACAGAAACTGGCCGCCCAATATGGCCACGTTTCCACTAGGTCATTACCCAAGCAGCACAGAGGGGATGGTGTGAAGGAGACTCTTGTTTACCATTAAAATATTAAAAACAGTTTAACACTGAAGGGAAGGGTGGTGATGGGGAACTCCAGACACTATAACCACTTCCATTAGAGGAAGCAATTACGGTGCCTACAGTGTTCCTTTAAAACAGGTGGACATAAAATGGGGTGGGGGCTCAGAGGGTCACTTTATAAAGCAAGGTTTCCAAATGTAAATCCCATATGATTTTAAGCCATTATTTGTATTTCTTCAGTGTTAATTATTTAGAAGGTCTACACATTTCTGTGTGTACAAGAGCATGAACTATAAGAAGGTACCCCCCTCCCCCCCCCACCCTCCATGTTTGGAAATGATTCATGCATTGCTATCTATTTTATACATGTCATATTTCCTGCATATTGTGTCAAGTGGGTCTTTATTGTATGAATTGTACAGCATACAATCACTAAACCTGGAATTATGGATAAGTGAGAGGGGAAATAACAATTTTAATATAAAAGGTTAATTTAGTTAAAATGCAGCTACTTACTTGTGCATTTTCCAAAAGCCTCAGTTTAATGAATATAACACCTTTTGGATTTATTAAAAAACAGTCATGCCTACCAACATTTCTGATTTCGGAGGGATAGTCCTGATTATAAGCTCCTGAGCCACCATCTCAACTTTGCTATCTGGTTCACATTTTTGGGGACACCAGGGAACGGTCCCGTGAAAGTATAGCGCGAGAGCATCATAAGATGGGATGCCACTGTTGGGGGTTATGAAACAGAATATTAGTGTATTGAATTGTAGCGATAATTGATTATCTTACCATAATTTATCTGACAGAATATTGAAATTTAAGATAAAATAGCCAAGCTGTGTATTTATGAGAATGCAATTTTTGCAAATCAGTTTTTGGTTCATTATGATTATGTGATTAGT